AAAGAGAAATACTCAAGAAAAATAACATTGGTAGAGCTGCAAAAGGCAATACAAAAACAAAATAATAATAAAACCCCAGGCCCGATGGTCTACCTGGTGAATTATATAAAAATTTGCACGAAATATTCAAACCAATACTACTAGATTTATATAATGAGGCATTATTAGAAGCTAGACTCCCGAGGTCCTGGTCTGAGGTATACATCTCCCTAATCTCAAAAGATGGCACTGATCAACAATTTCAAATTATAGGCCAATCTCGTTGCTAAATACAGATTATAAGATATTTATGACAATATTGGCAGAAAAAATGAAGCCGATTTTGAGTGAAATTATACATCCAGACCAGAACGGTTACTTACCAAAGAGACAAATTAAAAATAACATTAGAACAGTATTAAATTCAATTGAATATTATGAAGCACATTCAGAAAAACAGGCAGCTCTAATATTTTTGGATGCGCAAAAGGCATTTGATAATCTTAATTGGCAATTTATGCTGTACCAAACTAAAAACATGAATTTTGGAACCAACATAGAAAAAACACTACAAGAAATATATTCAAATCAAAAAGCAAGTGTACTGAGAAATGGAGATCGCATGGATGATTTTGAAATTGCGAAAGGAGTGAGACAAGGGTGTCCATTATCACCTTTGCTATTTATCTTGTCCCTAGAAGTGCTCCTAGCGCAACCAGGCAAAACCCAGAGATACAAGGGATTAAAATTAGAAACGAAGAGTATACAGTTCAGGTATTTGCGGATGATCTGGCATTTATAGTGGAAGACCCAATGAACATGGGACAAATATTGTTACAACAAATAGAAAAATTCAGGGAAGTGGCAGGACTCAAAATAAACAAAAATAAAACTAAGATGATAGTTAAAAACTGTACTATAAAGCAGAAAACAGAATTGGAAAATAACATGGGACTTCAGATAGCAAAAAAGGTGAAATATTTGGGAATTTGGCTATCTCCCAGATGTTCGTCAATAAAAGAAGATAATTATACTAAATTGGTAAAGCAAATTAGAAAAGAACTGGAACAATGGGCAAAACTCAAACTGTCTTTATTGGGAAGAATAGCGGTATTGAAAATGAATACCTTACTGAAATTAATATATTTATTTCAAATGATCCTGATTAAATTAGGAAAACCTTTTTTGACAGAATTAAATAAAATGACGTCCAAATTTGTCTGGTTGGGCAGGAAGCCATGTATTAAAATGAAACTATTATAAGATAATAGGAGCAGAGGTGGTCTTGGACTACCAGAATGGGAACTCTACTATCAAGCAGCGGTGCTGAATTGGGTTGGGTCAAGTTAAAAGACAAGAGAATTCTAACACTAGAAGGCCATGTCCTCCAGATAGGCTGGCATGCATTTTTGTGGGAGAAAAAACGTAATATACATACTTACTTCAATCATAATTTAATAAGAGATCCATTCATTAGAACATGGAGGAAAATTAAAAATAAACATTATATGGAAATACCACGTTGGCTGTCAACCATGGAGGCCATGATCCACCCAAATAGATTAGATTTAAGGAAAATGGTAAGTTATGAGGAATTATTAGATAGTCAAGGTAAATTAAAATCAAATCAAAAACTAAAGGAAAATGGAATTATAATCGATTGGTGGCCATATTTGCAAATCTAAAATAAATATAAAAAAGATTTGGAAGATTTTGGATTTGACAATGGGCAAAACCAATTGGACAAAATTTTAATGGGACTGGAACAAAAATTTATAACAAAAATATATAAATATTTATTAGATTTTAAAATGGAAGAGGAAACAGTGAAAGGTACAATGATAGCTTGGGCGCAGAATTTTGGATATAACATAGAATTAGGGGAATAAGAGAAAATATGGAACGTAAATTATAAGATAACTATATCTTCAGCATACAAAGAAAATCTGTATAAAATGTTTTACAGATGGTATTTGGCCCAACGAGATTAGCAAAAATATATTCCAACGTAAGGCCAAAATGTTGGAAATGTAAAAAAGTTGACGGTACATTTTACCATATGTGGTGGCTATGCCCTGAGACCAGGACATTCTGGATCCAAATTAAAAACTGGGTACAAGGGATCACCGGTCATCAGATCGAGCTCAGACCGGAAACCTTTCTTCTAGGAATTATCAAAGATCGAATCCCAAAAGAAGTAAAATATCTATTGCTACATATCACAACAGCCGTCAGAATAGCTTTTGCAGGAACTTCCGGTTGCAAGGCTTCGGCGGCGGCAGGAAACCGCTTCTCTGCGGGTCCCTGCTGCGCTCACCGCTGAGGTACCCCCGATCCAATTGGATTTGGAGGTTGTCGCTGCCCCGAAGAGGCAGCGGAAGACAGAAAAGATCCGGGCAGGGGTCTGGGGATATCGCACCCCCTTTCCCCAGCCGGCTAGACTCCTTTTTCCTGAGGCGGTGGAGCGGCTGTCAGAAATGGCAGCCATAAAGGAATCTTCAACTGGATAAGACTGTGCAGGAGGAAGACAGAAGGAGAAGTTTTCTTGGCTGAACCGGGACATTAAGTTACTTTTAAAACACCCTGGAAACCTGACTTTTGGATTGATACATTTGTTTCCAAAAGAAGTTACTATCGGCTGCGAAAGTGCTGAAAGGAAAGTTCACTCCCCTTCCTTACGGAGAAAGCAAATGAGCACAGAAAAACCTGCTTCTTTAAGGTAAAAACAAGCTCTTTGTTATAAGTGGGAAGGAGAGGACTAAAAAAAAAAAATCTTTTAAAACTGGTTGGAGGAGACGCTTTGAAGATTATAAGACCAACAACTATTTGTAATACGGCTTTAAAATATATTTGGGATTTTGCCCCAGGAGGAAAAGTTGCAAAGAGAAGAAGAGGAAATAATTTCTGGCTGTTTGGATTGTTTGATAACTTTGACATTTGCAAATTACCTTAAGATTAAAAACATCTGGGTTGTTCTTAAAAATTTACAATGGCACCATCTCTGGATCAACTAAAAATGGAATATGAAAAATTAAAGGAAAGAGAACCAAATGGCAAGAATTCATTGGGAGCTGTCTTCCACTTTTTAGAAATGGCAGTTTCTACGTACCAGCAAATACTTGATGAAGAAGGAGAAGGAGAAAAAGAAGAAAAGGAAACCATGTTTAATGGACAAAAAAATTGATTAAGAAAGAAAATAGGAAGAGAGGAAGGAAAAATGAGAATTTAAGATTTAATAAAACAACCAAGAAAAAGAAAAATAAGGTGAAAAAAAGGTACAATGTTAGAAAGCAATTGAAAAGAGAATTACAACAGAGAGGGGAAGTTAAAAAGGTGGAGGTTAGGAGAGGTGGGGGCAAAAAGATCAGACTGAAGAAGAAAGGGAGGGAAAAAGGGAAAAAAAGCCACAGTCTGGAACAAGATATTTTTTTTAGAGATAAAGGATAAAGGATGTATAATTTAAGAAAGATTCTGCAAGAGTACATAAGATAGTATTGTAGTATTTGCATTTGAAATAGTTTATTGGAATATTATAAGATTTAACAAAATATTAAAATATTAAAATGTTTTATAATGATAGATTTCAATATTTAATAAAATATCAAAGAGAATGTGTAAAATGATTAATGTTTAGTTATACTATTAATAGAATTAGAATTAGAATGGAAATTATATATTTAATTATATTATAAGTTTATTATTCTTTTTCTTTTCAAAATGCAACATGTAGAATGTACTAAGCAGAATCAGGATAGAAATTATGTATTATTTTAAGTGTTACTTTAGGGAAAGGCGTCACACCTTAAAAGTGATTATAGGGGAAATTCTTTTGCTAAAGAGAAGAGATAAATAGATGATTGGAAAAGAACGGACAAAAGATACAAACATAATGATTCTGAAATAAGATGAAATAAACAAAATATAACTAAGAGAGTGAAAAGAAGGGAGAAGTTATATAGAAAATATAGAATGGTTAATAAGATATGAATGGTATATAAGGTGAGCACGAACTTGATTTAGGTCTGTTAAAAAAGATGTAACCCGGGGCTAAGCCACTTTTCAAAAGAAGTTTTATGTTTTGTGTTTTGGTTAGCTATGTTTTGATTGTGAATTAATAAAACCTTGGAGGAATAAAACTAAAGGGAGAGAAATTTGGAAAAGACATGTATAAATAATAATTAAGAAGGTTTTATCTTTTTATGTTTTGTTTTATGTTCTGTATTTTGTGTGTTTATGCTTGATGGAGAATTAATAAAACCTTGATAGAAAGAAATATAATTGAATAAAAGTGAAGGGAGAAACAATGAGAAATTTGGCAAAGATATATATGTGTTTAAATGGAAATGTGATAATGTGGAACTATGCTTTAAAAAATAATGCCTTATTTGCCTTGTTAAAACTTATAAGTAATTTTTGAGAAAGGAGGTTTTATACTTTGATGTCTTATGTTTTGTTTGTCTTTAAAATCAATAAAATTTGTTTTATAAAAAAAAAAGAATAGCTTTTGCACAAGTATGGAAAACTCCTAATATTCCCAATGAAGAATTAATATTACAAAAAATAATGGAAAGTGATGAAATGAACATGTTAACACTGAAACTGAAGGAAAGAGAAGACTCTAAATATTTCTTAATCTGGAATAAATGGTATGATTGGGTAGCAAACAGAAACAAGAAATAAGACAAGAAATCTAACTGTAAGAAGCCTTAAGAAAGTAAAATGTAAATACATAAAATATATAAGAATATAAGAATAACAATTATAGAAAAAGTCATTATTCAATATTAATCTAAATACAATGTCTTAAGCTATACAAGATAAAAATCTGTATAGATGTAAAAAATGCTGTTGAAATCATGTTTTTATGTTTTAATAATGGAAACGTAATAAAAATATATTTTAAAAAAAGAAAATAATTATGGTGTGCTAAGGTTAAAGAACATTTGTATATCATATCATTTTTTAAAGTTGCAATTAATCTAAATTATCTGTAATTAATGCTTAACTTCTTAAAATCTTACCTTGGCCATGTTTGCATTTTTGCCAGAACCAAGCTTCCTAATGGAAACTTAGAATAAATATATTTTAATCCATGTTTTTGAAATTGAGACTCCTTGGGAAAATATTCTTCAGCAACAGAACATTTATTAAACTGTGTATCAATATTCATATAGCAGTACCATGGTGCATTAGAATCAATATTTCCTGCATCATCTTTCAGTAACAGTCTCCATTTTAAACAGCTTCTGTTCTCACATTGTATCCACACTCTACCTATGTAAAATTCTTTTACAGAATCCATATAACAGGTCTTTATTCTTCTAGTTCGTAGAATATTTTGTTCCCTCTGAAACATAAATAACTATATTAAACATAAATCAAATTCCCATGAAACTTGTATTTCTATCTCTGTTAATAATAATAAAATACTAACTGCTCTCAAAAGTAAGTATAGTATACTCTAGTTAACTTCTACAGCTTGTGAAAAATACAGTGACTATGTGGGTAGAAATTATACTTAACTTATGAAAACATGTAAAGGTAGTTCTCAATTATAACTGAGCTATAGGTAATACAGATAGTTTTCATGAACAGGTAGTTCTCAACTACAATTTACAATCCAAAATTATGGTTGTAAGTTGTTGCAGTGATTAGGCAGGTCACCATTTTTACTATCTGTCCTGTGGCAATCATTAAGCAAAAACTGTGATCATTAAGCTTATCTATTTTATCCAATGTCTGGTTTTCACTAGAAACCAGAGGCAAACAGTGGAAACCATCTAGAACTGTCAAAAATCAAGTCACGTGACACTGCTGCAAATGGTTCTAAAATGAGTTGGTTGCCAAAATGTGATCACATGACTGTGCAGGGTATGTTTGTGATTATTGAAACTTTGAAATCAGGTCAAATGACAGATTTCATGAAAAGCAAACTGCTTCTGTAATTATGCTTGCATGAACTTTTCTTGCTGGTTAATTATGAAGCTCATTTAGTCCTATTAAACAGATCCTTAATACGTGGCCTAGAACAGGCAAAATAGCGTTCCGAAAAGATAGCTGAAATGGCATGCTTGTAAAACAGCAAATATCTTACCTCACACAGAATGGCTGGCATAAGTTGCAAATAATTGCTTATAAAGTCAGATTTGAAAAGTCTGAAATAATAACGGTTATCATTAGTATTTAATGCAGCATTTCACCCTATTCATAAGCAAAGAACAATCAGAAACTCCAAATAAGCAACACAACAGGCAAGGAGCCAAAGCTGACAAGATTAGCTCAAACAAAACACCAAGGATTTGCATTTCCCCTTTTACCTGTAGAGCCAGCTTTGGCCCCTACATGACCCCATAGGAATATGGCCACAGCCATTAAATTATTAAAGGACATATTCTTTCACAGGAACATGCATCTCAATTACAAGGTCCCAAAGAATGCATAAAAGCCCACCTACTCTCAAGCCCCACTTTGTCAGCAGCATCCCAGAAACATGCTGTTGTCAGTGAAGTTTCTAGTTACCATATAAACAGAAACCTTCTTTCCTGCAGCCTGTCTCCATTTTATTTCAGCATCTTTCTCCAAGCTTGGAACTGGACTTGAGTTTTCTTCCAACACTAGCCTGAGCTATTTCAAGTTCTATAATGAGAAAAATCTTCACAGAAAGGAACAAAATAAAATGGAACTTGAAAACTAAGAACATTGGAGTTTAAAAAGTCTTTGTAGAATTTAGTTCAGCATTCAATATCATCATTCCAGATATTCGTCTAACTAACCTAAATGAACTAGCAGTACCTGAACACACTTGTAAGTGGAGCATAAGCTTCCTAACAGATAGGAAGCAGCAGGTGAAGCTAGGCAGAATCACAGCTGATACCTGTACAATTAGCACAGGAGTCCCTCAAGGCTGTGTGCTTTCTCCTCTTCTCCCTATATATACCAATGACTACATCTCAAACAATCCATCTATTGAAATACTGAAGTTTGCAGATGACACAACAGTGATTGGTCTCATTCGAGACAATGATGAATCCGCATACAGACGAGGTTGTACAACTTGCTTTGTGGTGTGACCGGAACAATCTAGAACTGAACACACTCAAAACTGTGGTGGTAGACTTTAGGAGAAACCCTCCCATACTACCACCTCTTACAATACTAGACAACACAGTATCAACAGTAGAGATCTTCAAATTTCTAGATTCTATCATATCTCAAGATCTAAAATGGACACCTAACACCAAAAACATCATAAAAAAGCACAACAAAGAATGTTCTTTCTGCGCCAACTCAGAAAGCTCAAACTGCCCAAGGAGTTACTGATACAGTTCTATAGAGGAATGGTTGAGTCTGTCATCTGCACCTCTGTAACTGTCTGGTTTGGTTCTGCAACCCAACAAGACAGACACAGACTTCAGAAAGTAATTAGGTCTGCAGAAAAAAACATTGCTATCAACCTGCCTTGAGGACCTGTATACTGCATGAGCCAAAAAGAGGGCTATGAAAGTATTTACAGACCCCTCACATCCCGGACATAAACTGTTTCAACTCCTACCCTCAAAACGACACTATAGAGCACTGCACATCAGAACAACTAGTCACAAGGACATTTTTTTCCTGAACGCCATCATTCTACTAAACAAATAATTCCCTCAACACTGTCAAACTGTTTACTAAGTCTGCGCTACTATTACTATTCATCTTCTCATCACTCCTTATCATACATCCCTTCCCACTTATGACTGTATGACTATAACTTTGTCACTTGTATCCTAATGATTTTGACTGTTTCCTAGTATGATTTGATTACTTACTGTATCCCATGACTATTATTAAGTATTGTACCTGATGATTCTTGAGTCTTGATGAATGTATCTTTTCTTTTATGTACACTGAGAGCACATGCACCAAGACAATTTCCTTGTGTGATCAATCACACTGGCCAATAAAAAAAAATTGGAATATGACTATATTTTTGTACAAAACTCGTCTTTAATTATTTTGACCTTAGATTACTTACTGTAATTAATATCAGCCTTTGAAGACTCAGTGATGAAAGCATGACATGTATGAATGCATGTAGGTATGTGTATTATATGACACATATACATCTTATATGACATGTCTCAGTATATATCTCAGAATGTCATATATATTACACTATATTATTCTGACATATATGTGTACATGTAATATATGTACAGAATGTTGATGCATATTGTTTATATGTTTTAAACCAATCTGGGAAGATTTAATTCTAAAATGAAGCCTACAGATTACATTAAATTAGGGGTGTCAAACTCAGAGCCCGAGGGCTGGATGCGTAGCATGCCGGCCCCGCACCAGCCCTGTTTAGCAAAGGGAGGGAAAAGTCCCCATACACCACGTGACGCTGCCGTGATGACATGAGTTTGACACCCCTGCATTAAATAAATTGATGTTTGTCCATATGCAGTTTTCTATAATTTAACATCTTCAACAGAAGCTCTTCTCCAAATGCCTTCTCAATTAGAAAGTGTTTGATATTGCTTCAATTGTGAAATGTTTTCCCTAACATGTAAAAGTTTATCTTTGTAACATTTTAATTCCAACCATATACAATTGGTCTAATCTAAAAGTTGTACTGACAATCAATTTTAAGCCAATACTTTATAGACTAACAATATTTGGACAATTGCAATCTCTCAAGCATCCATGTCATCAGCCTTAAAAACAGATACAAGAAATATAATTTATAATAATTATATTGCCTTTGAATTATTTTTTATTGTTTTTTTCTCGTTTCAGGTCAATTCATATGTTTTTTAGATCAATCATTGTATATTGTAGTTGAGGGACTTTTTCACGTGTTCATGCTGGTGCTTCATCTGATTGGTTTCATTTTCTTTTGTTCAATGCACTGACAGCACTGTTATTACATTTCTGTACAATTCATGCATATAATATGAACAAATAGACAGGGCTATTTCACAACGAGAAACCGGAGTACGTGGCCAGCAGCTTTTACTCCTCTGAGGGGGAAATAAAGACCATATCTCACCACGTGAGGTAAGTCCGTAGCATTCCGACAAACCGGCCAGCAAAGATGGACTACAATTCCCTTCTCTCCCTCTTCTCTCACCCCGCACCCCCCAGCCACCCGCAACTTCCCATTGCATGCCGGGAATAGAACTGCCCCAGAAGAGAATTGCCGGGGCGGGTTTCGGTTCTATGGCTTCGCAAAATCAGTGAGAAGACTACGAATCCCGCCATGCCTCGCTACAGATATCCATTTCCCCCACTGAAGTGGGAGGTTATTACTTACAGACGTTACAGTCATGTGAGATGATGGAAGTCAGAGATTCCTGGTGAGTCTGAGGGAGTGAAGGGAGGAAAGAGGAAGAAAGGCATCGTGCGCTGCCGGGGACTTTGGTTGAAGTTACATCTGCTTCTGGGCTGCGAGGAGAAATTGAAAAGTCTAAGCTAAAGTGGGCCCCATTTCTTGTTTCCCCCCCGCAGCGACCCTGTCCAATTAACTGGTGCGTACGGAGACGAAAGCGCCCCGCCCACTTCTGCCGCGAGCTTGCTGGCTGCAGGTAACTCTTAGTATTCCGCAGCGTTTTCCCTCCTTGTTGTTGGCCTCTCTTCTCTGGCCCGCCAAGCCTCAGTCAAGTTTCCAAGAAAAAGGTCGCGTGGTCTATTTTTCCTAAGCAAAATTGTGGCCCCAATTTGGCATGGGGTAGTTCAGCACTGGCCAGTATTTTGTTTATTTAACCACTGTTTCCAGCACTGGTTACTGAATTAACCCATTGATGATTTTGTAGAATTTATTGAACCACAAACTGACTATGAGATCTATATGCGAATAAGATACAGCAAGGTCAATATAACCAACCTTGGCATTTTGTGCAAATTCCTGTGCGGAGTTTTATCTAATAAAACATTACAAGAGTTTCAAGTATGCATGCATATGATTGCAATTTTCCTTTATGTAGAAAATAATTGCTTAACTATTGCTAATTGGTTTTTTTTTCCAGAAATGAGATAATTTGATATGGACTGTTAGTCTGACACACAAAACACTAAAGGTCAAGCTATATTCCTTTTCCTTTTATTTATGAGAATTCAGGTTCTCTAAAACTTTTGTTTATAAATCACATTTATAGCTGCCTAGAATTGTTATGAGTTGAGCAATCTATAAATGTGATTTATAAATAAAGTTTTCCTTGAAACATCTCTGTGAATGTCTAGAACTTTCAGTTTTGAAATGGTGTGCAGAGGTCACCAGAATCCTTGTCCTTGCATGTACTTAAGAACTGAATATTTGAGACTTGAATTTGATTGTTAATGAAAGGATAAGGAGAAATAGAATGAAAAATATCTGACAACATTTCAGAAAGAGAAATATACTATCCATTCATGGAAGTTATCAGGGATAACATGTCATTTTGTTCAATTTCTAAAACATGGCCAATAGAAATGTACATTTCAAAAGAAAGATACAAGAAACTGTCATTGCTGTTTGTGGTTAGGCATAATTAAGCTTTGCAGAATAAATTGTAGGTTGGTATAAGTGCTCGGTTTGGAATACAGATCTCATTTAGTGCTGGTCTCATTTAGTGACTGTTTGCAGTTACAGTGGTGATGAAAAATAACCTTGCAACCAATCCACGTGGTCTTTAAGTCTGTAAAGCAAAGGAAAGCTAAAGCAAGATGTTAGACACAGTTGTGATTTCACTTAGTGACTGCTTTGCTTAATGACTGAGCTGCCAGGTCCAATTGTGATCAAAAACTACTTGTATTTGACAAAAGGAATGGGCAAAGGCTTTCTGCCTTTTCATTTTTGGTATCAAGTAAGTTTAATAAGTGAGAATATATGATAACCAAAAGTGGAATTGAAAGCTAGGCATATATGAATAACCAAAGCTTAATTTTAAGGAGTTGTTATCTTGTTGTAAGTACTATTATCTAAATGCTTACGTTATTCAACATATATGTTATTCTGAGATTTGTTCTTTTAATGATTTAAGACAATTTAATTGACTCCTCATCCCTAATTTTTTATATATATATTTTAAATCTAACTTTGTTTCTTCTAAGTTTCACTGTTATATAGGAAAACTTAGGAGTAATCGGGATGGTTTTTTTTTAGTTGTATATTCCATGACCATCCATATCTCCTCTTTGGTTTCTAACAACAGAGTTAGAAACCAAAATGGCAGCCCCTTCTCATTGCAATAATGAGAATAACTTTAAAAATAATGTGTTATATTTTTTAAAAATTGCTTGAGACTGAAGAAATGGAAAAGCTTATTTGAAAGTTAGGTTAAACAGTCAGAATTAGATGAACATATTCAAGATTTAGTTTACTTTCTGGTACTACATAAAGATAAATTCTGTTGTATTAAGTTTACATCTTTCTGTAAAATTTTGAAGATACCTGTTCTTCTCTCTCGTATCTGCCTGGTACTTGGTCTTCTTGTTACAATGCAAGTTTAAATGTTTCATTATATAGAATCCTCTTTCTAAAAATGTATTTTCAAACACAACTCTTTGATGTGTATCTTTCGCCTGAAAAGACCACTTTTAGGTACCTGTAATATTCCTTTCTAGAAATTTTCTTCAAAAAGTCAGTCTTCACCAGCTATCTCAATGAATTAATTGAGTATTTATGGAAGAAGTTAAGAAAATGTATATGGCTAGCCAACACATGGTTGTTCTGGGTGGCTTACAAAAATAAAGTACAAAACCAATAAATTTCCACTCCCCTGGTGACAATAATTTAGATATTCTTTCTGAAGGCAATATATAATTAACACAATCATCACCAAAATAGCCAGAATGACAGTGATTAAGATGTGGTAAAATAGAAGAGATCCAAGTTCGAGTCCACCATAGATGTGGAAGTGCTTACTAAAACCAGGGCAAGTTTTTTTCTCTCTCTCTCGGCTCATCTATTCTGGAGAAAAGAGTCCCATGTATGTCTATGGAGATTCTCAATTATTCAGATCATAGTTGTCCCATTTGTGCTTTTCAAAAGGCTTCTCATACAAGAAGCTTCTTGAGTTCTGACTTAATTCTGGGGAATGGAAGGATTTGTATTCTTTGCAATCATCTGGCTGTTAGTGTTTGCTTTCTGAGACTCATTGGGGGGAGTTAATCTGAGTCACCTAAGAATATAGATTCACCTGAATCAGAGTGCAAATGGGTGTGGAACCTTCCTGGAACTGCTGAAAGGACTGTTGAGGACAGGATAGGGATGATGTCATATCCCTCCCCTTCTGTTGAGAGAGGGTTGTTCAATTTTAACAGAGATTACTTTTTGGTCCATTTTCCAAGCAATTCAAAGAGGTCCTTTTGTTGGTTACTTCTTCTCTGAAAGCTAATATATCTAAAATTTAGGACAAGAATTGATGCTAAATAGAAATTGATGTAACTTACTCAAAGGGGAAAATGTCAGCTAGTTTTGTAAGTCTCTGTTTAAAGCCTTTGGATGAAATGCCATTATCCAATACTGCTAAAGCAGACTGAAACAGCTCTATTCTTGTTGCTTTTGTAATAATACTTTTATTTTAAGCCTACTATCATCCCATGCCAAAGAAGCCCTCCATCAGAGAACTGAATGATTACAGACCAATTGCTCTTACCTGAAAACCATCACGGATCCACTGTTAGATCCCATGCAGTTTGCATACTGAGCAAATAGATCGACAGATGATGCTGTTAATATGGCTCTGCACTACATCCTATAACACATTGAATCTCCAAATGCAAGGGTCCTCTTTGTAGACTTCAGTTGAGCATTCAATACCATCAGTCCAGATATTCTTCTAAGTAAATTAAACCAATTAGCAGTACCTGAACACACTTGTAAGTGGATCATAAGTTTCTAACAGACAGGAAGCAGCAGGTGAAGCTAGGCAGAATCACATCAGATAACCTGTACAATTAGCACAGTGGTCCCCCAAGGCTGTGTGCTTTCTCCTCTTCTCCCTATATACCAATGACTACATCTCAAACAATCCATCTATTGAAATACTGAAGTTTGCAGATGATACAACAGTGATTGGTCTCATTCGAGACAATGATGAATCCGCATACAGACGACAACTTGCCTCGTGGTATAACAGGAACAGTCTGGAATTGAACACACTCAAAACCGTAGAAATGGTGGTAGACTTTAGGAGAAACCCTCCCATACTACCACCTCTTGCAATACTAGACAACACATTATCAACAGAAGAGATCTTCAAATTTCTAGATTCTATCATATCTCAAGACCTAAAATGGTCACGTAACATCAAAAAGTCATAAAAAAGTACAACAAAGCGCCAACTCAGAAAGTTCAAACTGCCCAAGGAGTTACTGATACAGTTCTATAGAGGAATGGTTGAGTCTGTCATCTGCACCTCTATAACTGTCTGGTTTGGTTCTGCAACCCAACAAGACAGACACAGACTTCAGAAAGTAATTAGGTCTGCAGAAAAAAAACATTGCTACCAACCTGCCTTGAGGACCTGTATATTGCACGAGTCAAAAAGAGGGCTGTGAAAGTATTTACAGACCCTTCACATCCTGGACATAAACTGTTCCAACTCCTACGTTCAAAATGACGCTATAGAACATTGCACACCAGAACAACTAGACACAAGGACAGTTTTTTTCCTGAACGCCATCATTCTCTAAACAATTCCCTCAACACTGTCCAACTATTTAAAAAGTTTGCACTATTATTACTATTAATCTTCTCATCACTCCTTATCACCCATCCCCTCCCACTTGTGACTATATGATTATAACTTTGTCGCTTGTATCCTTATTGTACCCTATGACTGTTATTAAGTGTTGTACCTTATGATTTTTGATTCTTGATGAATGTATCTTTTATGTACACTGAGAGCATTTCCATCAAGACAAATTCTTTGTGTATCCAATCACACTTGGCCAATAAAGAATTCTATTCTATTCCATTCTATTCTATTCTATTCTATTCTATTCTATTCTATTCTATTCTATTCTATTCTATTCTATTCTATTCTATTCTATTCTATACTACACTGCTCAAAAAAATAAAGGGAACACAAAAATAAGACATCCTAGATCTGAATGAATGAAATATTCTTATTAAATACTTCGTTCATTACATAGTTGAATGTACTGACAACAAAATCACACAAAAATTATCAATGGAAATCAAATTTAGCAACCCATGGAGGTCTGGGTTTGGAGTTACACTCAAAATTAAAGTGGAAAATAACACTATAGGCTGATCCAACTTTGATGTAATGTCCTTAAAACAAGTCAAAATGAGGCTCAGTAGTGTGTGGCCTCCACGTGCCTGTATGACTTTCCTACAACGCCTGGGCATGCTCCTGATGAGGTGGCAGATGGTCTCCTGAGAAATCTCCTCCCACACCTGAACTAAAGCATCCCTCAACTCCTGGACAGTCTGTGGTGCAATGTGGCGTTGGTGGATGGAGCGAGACATGATGTCCCAGATGTGCTCAATTGGATTCAGGTCTGGGGAATGGGCGGGCCAGTCCATAGCATCAATGCCTTCATCTTGCAGGAACTGCTGACACACTCCAGCCACATGAGGTCTAGCATTGTCGTGTATTAGGAGGAACCCAGGCCCAACCGCACCAGCATATGGTCTCACAAGGGGTCTGAGGATCTCATCTCGGTACCTAAAGGCAGTCAGGCTACCTCTGGCGAGCACATGGAGGGCTGTGCGGTCCCCCAAAGAAATGCCACCCCACAGCATTACTGACCCACTGCCAAACCGGTCATGCTCAAGGTTGTTGCAGGCAGCAGAACATTCTCCATGGCGTCTCCAGACCCTGTCACGTCTGTCACATGTGCTCAGTGTGAACCTGCTTTCATCTGTGAAGAGCACAGGGTGCCACTGGCGAATTTGCCAATCTTGGTGTTCTCTGGCAAATGCCAAATGTCCTGCACGGTGTTGGGCTGTAAGCACAACCCCCACCTGTGGACGTTGGGCCCTCATACCACCCTCATGGAGTCTGTTTCTGACTGTTTGAGCAGCCACATGCACATTTGTGGCCCGCTAGAGGTCATTTTACAGGGCTCTGGTAGTGCTCCTCCTGTCCCTCCTTGCACAAAGGCAGAGGTAGCGGTCCTGATGCTGGGTTGTTGCCCTTCTACGGCCTCCTCCACTTCTCCTGATGTACTGGCCTGTCTCCTGGTAGCGCCTCCATGCTCTGGAAACTACGCTGACAGGCACAGCAAACCTTGCCACAGCTCACATTGATGTGCCATCCTGGATGAGCTGCACTACCTGAGCCACTTGTGTGGGTTGTAGACTCCGTCTCATGCTACCACTAGAGTGAAAGCACCGCCAGCGTTCAAAAGTGACCAAACCATCAGCCAGAAAGCATAGGAACTGAGAAGTGGTCTGTGGTCACCACCTGCAGAACCACACTCCTTTATTGGGGATGTCTTGCTAACTGCCTATGCTTTCCACCTGTTGTCTATTCCATTTGCACAACGGCATGTGAAAATGATTGTCAATCAGTGTTGCTATCTAAGTGGACAGTTTGATTTCACAGAAGTGTGATTGACTTGGAGTTACATTGTGTTGTTTAAGTGTTCCCGTTATTTTTTTGAGCTGTGTATTTTAATGGGACTAACTTTTAACATTTCAATTATATTTTATATTGCTGTTGCATTTGAATGAAATCTAGATTTTTTTTCCAAATATTTTATCTTTAAAGTGGGAAGTCTCTTAGATTTTCTGGAAACAGATTAATAGAAATATATTGGGTTTTTTTCTTTTTAATCTTCTTTCAGGGGCATTGTCACATTGCTTTTCCTTCAGTGTCATTTTTCAATATGATACATAGTGAAAATATGGGATGAAAACATACTGAAATGTGAAAATGAGATGATAAATAAACATACTATCTTAAAATAAAAGTTCAACAGAACATTGACATTCCATAAGTTCAAATTGTGTTCATCCTTTCCAAAATAGCCATCTTTAAGTAGAAATTTTAGGAAAAGGAGCTTTTGGGAAAGTTGCATCTATACTTTAAAAGAATGGGAAGCAAAGAACAGATGAATCTCTTTCTATGTATACACTACAGCCCTTTCCAACTCTTCTCCGGAATGTTGCAAGGCCTGCCAAAGCAGATGGTAGTAGGGTAAGTAGCAGGAAGAGTAGAAGATTAACAGGAAATCCTGTTGTTCTATGGAAGACAATTCAAACAGGATTGGATATAGCCCAATATTTTGTCAGAATTGCAAAAACCCAACAAATACCATGTGTGTGTGTGTGTGTGTGTGTGTGTGTGTGTGTGTGTGTATTTGTGTATTTGCTTATTGGATGCTTAACAATGTTATGATTGTTTTTAAACAATGCAGTTAAAAATGAATAGTGGTAGGTACAGTCGGTCATTTTGTACTAAATTACAATAATATGGTAAAAAGCAACATAGAATATAGGGCTAGCGAGAGTGTTTGTTAAACAAGTGACGTATGCGGAAAACCAGCCCATGACAAACCTTATGCCCACAGAAGGCAAAGATTGACATACAGTTGTTTCTGCTTGAGATTTCAATCGATTGATGGCAACCATTTCAGCGAAACGCAGAAAACGAGAGTTCCTGTGGTGCAGCAAACTTGAATGCAGTGTTTGAATTGACTTGGTGATGTGTAGCTAGTATATGTCTCGCAATAGCAGAAGAAGGCATTTTGTGGCCGTGGTTTGCTGTTGGATTACCCAGTACTGTCTGAACCCATTTCAGAAATTGCTCCTTCATTTTGAAAACCAGGCACCTATCAGTTCTGCTGGTGTAATTGTCTCCACAATTACAAACAAATTGGTAAATACAATGGGCTTTGAAGCTCACAGGTTGTGTGCTTCCTTGATTGATAGTAATGGTAGCCTCTGGGTTTGATACAGTACATAAAACTTGGCCATACTGACTGATTCAATTAGGTGCTTAAACATTGGGTCGTCAGGCATGCTATCTGATCTTCCTTAAACAGCAGCTCAATAATATTTTCTTTTTACTGGCAGTTGAAATTGTCAGTTTTGGGTTTCTATCATTTTTATTTTTGATTATTTTATTTTTATTCAGGTATCATGGAAGAACTAGCTGAAGATGACATTGATATCCTGAACCATGAAAAAGCAGACACTCATCAGAGACAAGATGGACAATTTCCTATTCCAGTGTCTTCAGGAGAAGAATCAGTTGCTTCACATTTTGCCCTTGTCACTGCTTATGAAGATATTAAAAAGCGCCTGAAAGAGACAGAAAGAGAAAATTCTTTCTTAAAGAAAAGAGTAAGATTGTTAGAAGAAAAGGCAAGTAATTTTAGCAATATATTTTTCTTTCAAGGTTATATCGTTCAACATTATTAATGTTAGTATGATTTTTAAAAACTAGTTTTTATCTTAAGTAATGTGTAAAGTAATTAAGCACATGTGAAACAGATACATTCATTACTTGGAAGTTATTGCCTAATACTTATGGCCAGCACTAAGGAAATTCACTTGGTTTAACATTAAATACTTATTTGAAAATATCTGAATAATGATTAAGACACATCTTGTTGTAATCTTTTAGCTTCTTGAATCCCATTTGGAAGAAGCAACAAGTTCTGTGGGTCGTGAGCAAGTTAACAAAGCTTATCAAGCATATCGGGAATCTTGTATTGAACGAGATAATCTGAAAAGTCAACTGGATAAAACGGTATGATTTTGGAGTAGCATAAAATAAAACAATGTTGCATGAACCTCATATAGAAAAATATTTTAACATGGAGCAAATTAAGTTTGGATCACTAAAGATATTGAGTATGATCTAGCAAAAGATAACTATTAACTTATTCATTTCTATGTATGGGTTTAAAATGAGTATCATTTTTTAATATCAAAACAGTTCAATTAAGGAATATTTATATGTGTCAATCCTGGATTTTTAAAAATATTGAATTTCTGAATATCCACCTTGATTGATATTTTCTCTTTTTTTCAGTGACCCCATTTGTCTCCTAATTGTTCTGATATTAAATGTCTGAATTTGCTGTTTGAATGAATGAGAGTGAGATTCACATTAAAAACATAGGTTGTCAAAGATCCAGTGATTCAGTACAAATCACTACAGGTAGTCCTCGATTTACAACAATTCTATTAATGACTATTTGATGTTACAATGGCACTGAAAAAAGTGATTTATAACCATTTTTTTACACTAAAGACCATTGCAGCCTCTTCATGGTCGCATGCTCAAAATATAGACAAATTTAGATTTAGGCTTGGCATCTGGCTCATATTTATGACTTTGCAATGTCCTGTGGTCATGTGATCACTTTTTGTAACTTTCTAACAAGCAAAGTCAATGGGAATGCCAGATTCAGTAACAACCATGTTTCTAACCTAACAACTGCAGTGATTAACAACATCTATCGCTAGACAGATCATAAAATGGGGCAAAACTCACTTAACAAATGTCTCTTTTAGTAATAGAAATTTTGGGCTCAATTGTGGTGGTAAGTTGAGGGCTACCTTATATATCTTTTTTAAAATTAAGTGGAGTGCAAAAACTTTGTAGATGAAAAATAGATTGAATAAAAAATTGGTGATCAATTTGGAAAGCATGCTAGCTAACTGAGTGCAGTGTGATGTATAATTTAATTAATTGATTATTAGTAATTAACAAGATTTTTTTTCTCCCCTCTAAAAGCAAAACAATATTCACATGCTATTTTTTTTTCAACTGGTAGTGCATTTGAAACAGTAAAAGAAACATAGTAATTTGGCCAGATCTTTATGAAGAACCAACTGATCTTTAGACTCAGACTTCAACTAGAATAATGATAAAGCCCTGATAATTTATATATTTCTCAAATTAGATGAAAGAGAACATGGAATATGTGAAAATCTTGAATGAGCAGTTGCAGTCTAAAGAAGTAGAACTCTTACAGCTAAGAACAGAAGTGGAAACTCAACAAGGTGCACTTTGTCTATCTGAGTGTATAACAGTATCCATTTATGCCAAGTGCTGTGACCTGCAATCCTTTTTTAAAAGTTAATATATTTTTTAATGTAACTGAGGCATTGCTATTACTGGTGTGGTATAATGTTCAGTAGTGATTAAGGTCTTGGAAAGTATTGATTAAGACTGGGAAACCCAACTTCAAATTTCAGCAATGGAAGTTCACCAAGTGCCTGTAACAGGATATAAATCCAACACATAATGATAACAAAGTATGCATCTTAGAGCAATTTCAGAACATGTGAGAATTTAATGCAAACATTTTTTTGTTATAAAAACTTAGAAACCTGTCTTAAATTGATACAAGAGCAACATCCTAGCTGGTATGGCCCCATCTCACTGGAGAGAGAATTCTGTAAGCAAGAGCCAATTTTATGTAGGCCTGTCTATACATAAAGAATTGGACTCATTCTTACTGTCCCTATGATAAGGTAACTTTAGCAATCAAAACAAGGACTTTTTAGTTGAGCCTTGAAATAAACTGGGTTAATTTTACAGTTGGCAAACATACAAGCAATATGTTACTCATGAAATATCCCAGTTCTGCAACCTTGTGGTTGTATTTTGATCTAACTGCAGTTGCTGAACCATCTTATTTATATTGCTCAATTAAGAGCAATATAATTCAGTACAGATCTCAGTATGGCTCACCGAACACCAGTTCTTTCTCATTAGATGGATTGAGACTAGAACACCAATTCATGCTTCAGAGACAGCTTAATTTTTTATGACATCTTTGGTTTGGATCAGTGACATCCTAAGATTGCAGACTTCTTATTGAAGTTTGTGTGGAGGTATACAATCTTCTCAAGTGCAGTATGACTATTAATTTGGTCAAAAGAACCATTTATCATCCTAGCATTTTTTTTCTTGGATTGAGATTCTATTTATTGAGCACAAAAATTCCATTATTGCATCTCTGCATCACTTAATGCTAGCATAACTTTACATGTATCATGAAAATATAAAATCAGGTGATACCATATATAGCTGATAAAACTGAAAATTTCACCCCAATACATTCCATTCCAATCTTGTAGACAACTCCAATGTCTAAACAGGCTGTTTTGGTCTTGAAACATTTTGCACTTCTCTACTTCATGATGCTTCACCCCAGACTTTTTGATAGCTTCATTCAGAAATATGTTCATATCAGAAACTCAGAAGAGAGCAAATTAAAGTGATTTCAGGCAATGAAGTCAATGTTTAACCAGCACCTTTTCTGAACATGGCAATCAAAATAATAATTTAATTATCTAAGCACAATACCTTCAGTACCCAATGTAGAGGCCCTGTCTGAAGAGTATCCTACTACCCAAAACCTCTGACAGTTCTGGAAATCATGCTTTGTTTTCTTGATTAGAACAGACCTAGTGCTAGATTTAAATATTAAGAAGTTTTAAAAGAAACTACTAATTCAAACACTGTGCCCTAGAAACAAATCTGGCTGTTGAAAGATTTGTGAAGAAAACACCTTTTCAGTAGCAATTATATATTTGTCTCTTAAGGTAGATTGGATTACTTCCCTCTCAAGGAACCATATTTTTTTTTCTAGACTTAGCTGCAAAATCATTACTGCTAATATAATAATAAGCATGTATAATAATAAGCATGCATAAGAATTCAGAGAATACTTGACTTTACAGTTTGGCTCCTGGCTGAGTAAGTAAAATTGTCAAATTCCTGGAAAATGTGGTCCGAGTCTGATATCTACAAGAATGTCTTCTAGCAGCATTTCAAATTCAAATAATCATTAATCAGGAAAAAAAAGAATATAGTTTTCAAAAATCCAGAACATCCCAAAATAAATGAGGAGTGATACATTAAAAATATGCTGATAAGTTTCATTCTTATCCCAGCAACATTTGCTTGTTAGATAAGATCTAGTATGGCAGGTTCTTTATGTGTTTCATCAGTTCGAGATGGCAGTCCTCATGGACTATGAACCACAGCTTGTTAGTTGTTACTGCCTTTCCATATCTCCCTGACATTCAAATTTGGATGTTTCATCAAGCCATGCTTTGGTTTGCTATAATTGCAGGTATTCCTCGAGTTAGTAATGTAATGGAGCCTTCTCATTCCATTTGTAACCCGAGGATTTGTGGAAAAAAATATTGTGCCTTGAACGAGGTCACTCCCTGCTTTCACCCACGCATTTGATAATTGAATGTGTGGCTTGTTAAGTGCACATGAGATATCTTGGGGGGGAGGAGGCCATGGAGGGGGCTAGTGATGTAACAGGCCACCTGCTTAAGACCACCCAAGGCCTCTCCTGACCCACAGATACCTCATTCTCCCTCCCCTAGGGTCCCTACTGCGCAATCTCCCTGTAGGCTTTGGCAAGAAAATGGCAAAAAGAAGGAACGCCTGAACTACCAAAGCCTTTCCACTGTTTGACCTCAGTTCTCTGCAAATACACCAAAAGCCTGAAACAATGAAGCAGGCAAAGAAACTATGACAAAGAGGAGATCTAAGGGAATGCTTGTAACCTGAGGATTACCTGTATTATTCCTAAATGTGAACTGATTTCTATTTCTTTCAGTTTTGTGCTATTACAATATATTGTTTTGATTCACTGGTTTAATCCCAATTATATATTGGGGGGGGGGGGGTTGTATGGCATGCAGAATCAGTTAGTTTATCTACAGTCTATAAGCCCTGTAAAAATAAATAAAATAAATTATGATTATCCAGTTGGTATATTAGTCTCAAGCTTCAACAACTGAAACAATAGTCATTAATATTGAATAATTTGCCTTGGATAATTCCACAGACTTACTATGTTGGTTTTTTCTTTTTCAAAGTCCCAATTAAAAATTCATTGAGATTGTTATTGAGGATTAATTATTTTTATATTTTAAAATATATGTGTTTTGTTATAAAGAAATATATTCAGCCTTTTAACTTTTTAAAAAACTGGTAATGTATTGAACTTGAAGATTTTGTGTCTATTTAGAGATTAATATCAGAGAACATATACATTACAGTACATTTCTATTTGAACTCTTTCTTTGCTGAGAGTTTATTAACATACTCAGTGTTGGTGAAAAAAACTTTATATACAAAAAGTAAGATTGGATTCAAATTTATCATATACACAGAAAGATATATGAGAAATGAGTTTTAGCACCATTTTCATTATCTAATTTGATTATTCTGAGAAAATAAAGGTCTTGTTTCCTTTCAGTGATGAAGAGTTTCAATTCTAACCCATCTAACTGGGAAATAGACAAACTGAACAGTGAGCTGAAGTTGCACAATTTGGAGCTGGATTTGGAGAAACTGAGGGAAGAATGCAATCATCTTAGGAAGGAATTGCAAAAATCTGTAAGGAAATAATTTCTAAATTACGATTTCTGTTATGAGGAAGGTACATAAAGGGGTAAAATTAAATGTTGATATGTACAATTTCTGCCTCTGAGTTTAATGAGATCAACATGTTTAGGTTTTGGTAAACTAAATTAATGTGTATTGAGACTTCTAATTTTTTGGTTTTCAAAAGTTCAGTGACTTTTGGTATCATTTTAAAATAATCTCAAAAACGGGCTTTGTCTCTTTATACCTTTAGTTCATTTTAGTCCTAATAAGATGGTTACAATTACTGTTATTTTGGTAGGTTTAAAAATGTACTTTAGTTTACTCTTGCCCAGGTGAAATTAAACTGCACATTTTTAGAACGCCACTAGATAGTGATAAAACCAAAATACCCAAAGTAGTCTAATAATTGTAGCTTGATAATTCTCTTAGAAAGAAAATATTTTGCAATCTGCTGCCTAAAATTTGCTGAACTATGTAATTAACACTTATTTGTGAATCTATTAACTAGAGTAAGATTATTCATTTCAAACTTTATTTCAATTGTTTCTCAGAAGTTAGTAATCTAAGTTTCATTTTTAAAATAGGTTTTTTTATATATTTGTAATGCTCATCCTTTTCAGTAAACTCTTAGTTCTAAAATTAAGTGTGACTTAAGAACTGGAGTATGACACACATAGAATCACAATGATATCAAACTAAAATTTAAATCTTAACCTGTGTCATAAGGAAACTTGATTGTACAATGATGTTTATTTAAGTTGCTAATGGAAAGAGCAATTTTTCTTAATACTTTGATATTTAAACCCAAGGTTCAACATATATTGTTTTAAAATTGGTTTAAATAAGCCAGAAGATTCCAGTTATTGGAAAGATTAGAAATGAAATAATTTCACTAAATCATTCTGAAATTTAGGTTTTTGTTTTTTGTTTTTGACTTAACATAATGTGCAATCCTATCCAATGTGACTTAACAGTATGAACTACAAAACTTCCTCAAGAAATTGTTAAAAAATCATAGGCTAATGTGAAATGTTGGCCCAAATAATATGGTCTTAGGGAACGGTATTTAGGGACATTTGAATTAGGATTAGAGATATAAACTTGTACAATAGAATAAAAAATAGAATAGAAAGATTTTTAAAAATATTGTTTCTGTAAGGAACTATTTCATAAAAATGCATAATGAATTATGTGGTCAGGCAAACATCCCCCCTGATTCTAACACTCTTTTTTTTTTTAAAAAAAGTATATTAAATGTATATTTGTTCATGGTATTTATATACTTTATGGGATTTGTATTCTGAAAGGAAAGTTAAATGCAACTGCAAATTTTTAAAAAAATATTTTATTAACACTAACATTTTTGGTATGTCTTGAAAAGGTTAGTTTTTTTCTTTGTACAAGTGAGGCAGATCTTTAAAAAGCCAATAGGACCTCTCTGTTTTGGCTTCCTTTCAGGTTGAATCCCAAGGAAGTTTAATTAATGGAGAGCTTATCCAACAGCAAAATATCCATAGGTATGCTTTTATTTACTTTAATGCATTTCAGCTAAATTCCTTTGATTAGCTTATTGAAGTCCAAGAAAATTAATTGTTTTGGATAAGGATTATGTCACTCAAGTAATGCATCTCACATTTACTTAGCACATGGCTGCCTTTGCCAAACATGATAATTGATCAAAAATGCAGAGCAGGCTATATAAGACACTGATCCTCAATCATTTATTGGTTTCCAGGTGTTGATTTTAATTTCTGTATGGGACTATCATTAATCCAACAATTCAACTATCCAAACTAAGATTATTAATGATCTTATAACAAGTAACTTTCTCTTCTCTCAGAAATTTTGTTAAATTGTTATGAGGGATAGGACAGATCTTTCTTCTGAAGGTATGTTTTACTTCATTTTTATAATTAGCTTTTCCCGGCCTTTGCTTTCTAATATATTTGGCACATTTCATTGGCTACAGTGTTTGGGAATTTTGATAATTGCAGTCCAATACCACATGTAAATAGCTTAAGAAAGATTTGTCTAAATAATGTGCAAAACGTTTTGCTAGCGAAGCAAAATAATTTCTAGTGTCTTAACTGTTAGGCTTCTGTACGTTACTTGGCTCTTTATTCACTGGTGCCACAGGTGCTATTTTGGAAATTGGAATAGATTGATCTAGATTTTTTTTAGAATTTGATTGTGGCACTTCTTGATTTCAGTTGTTAATTCTAAATATGACAAAACTTGCATCTAACATAGTGCTTTTATTCCTGTAAATGAAAAGCTGAAGTAGAAGCATTTTTGAACAGATAAGGAATATGGGTATATCGGATGAAAATATAGAATTTCAAGCTGAAGAAAAGTATATTTTGGAAAGTTGTTATCAGCTAACTTATCTTCTTCTAAAAGCTGATAGATTGGGGCCCATTAGGGTTTTTATGTTACAGCCAATCTTTTCCTGTGATTTACTTGTAAATAAAGACAGAGCGTTTTAGAAAAGCCCCATAAAACAGATAGCAAATAGTAATTGTCTACTTGAGACATATTGAAAGAATATATTTACAGTATTTAAAATGTTTATAATTTATGTTTTAGTTAGAAAGTGATTCTCAAGTGAGTAAAAGAGATCATCACTACTTTTGGCTTTACAGCTGAGACACATATCACTTAAACAAATAACACACAACTTTTATATAGATCTTCAATTTTTTTTACTACCAGTTCTGTGGGTGTGTCTTGGTGGGTGTGGCAGGGAACTTACATATTTGTGTGATGACATCACTGTACACATGTCACTTTGACATCACGAGAGTTTGCTGTTGGCATTGATAATCATGTTAGCCAGAGACAGAGGGCAAATTCTCCTATTTTCTGATGAATGGCTTTGGGAGAAATAAAAATATATGAAGAATCTTTTTTGTATATTTTTATTTATTTATTCTTATTTACAAACATATTGTGTGAACACTGTGGTATCAGGCTGTCTTATATTTTAAAACAAATATGACAATATTGTTCATATTCAATACAGTTGAAAATCTTATAAATTTTCATGTTAATACATATATATTCTTTGATTTTGCAGCATTTTAGTATCTTATTTTTATGTCAATCTCCATGTTCTAAATATCCCTCTTTTTCTACAGGTAGAATATTATTAATCATATTTGTAGTGTTTAATAGATTTATGTGATTCCAGTAATAATTCACCAATTTATATTGAATTATAATTATAATCTTAGTATTTATTATTTAATCCCTTCTAATTTTTAATTTTGCCACTATTATGTTTTAAAAATATCCCCTTTCTAATCATATTTTGCAAACTTAATGACAGATAAAATAATAATCATCATATTTATGTTTGACAAGTTATGTAATTATAGCAAATTATATAATTTTAATACAATTGTCTCTATATTCTTAACATCACTCCTTTTACTATAGATATATTAAGTCATATTTGCAGTATTTAATAATTTATATAATTCTCATAACCATTCATAAATTCATATTGATTTATATTTTCCCATTATTTATCCCTTTTAGTTTTTAATTTGCCACTATTTTAAAAGAAAAGTCCCTTTCTAGTCACATTTTAATACAAATAAAAAAATATTCATGTTTACATTTAACAAATTGTGCAATTCTAATAATATAATTACATCTATCTTGTGTTATATTTCACTACATTATTTTTGTGTCAATCAGGTTCCACATATTTCTTTTCCTACCATAGAATGTTAATATTCATGTTTATTACATTTAACAATTGTATATCTTTACTAATAATAACGCTCATTTATGTGAAACTATAACATTTTTTCCACTTTAGCCATCATCTTTTACTCGCATTTAAACTTTGATTAATTGTTTCTTAGCTTGTCTCCCATATTCCTCTCTTGATTTTTGTCTCTATCATTTTTGACCATCCCTCTTAATCATTCCTCCCTTCTCTACTATGTTCCATTGTCTCATTTTCAAGTTATCTACTCTTACCCTGGTCTTTCTCCCAAAAAATTCTCCCTGGAATTCCAGTTCCTGTTTGACTTCCCTTAAAACACTCTCCCCTTGGTTTATTACATCGATCATGATTTTTATTTTTATTTCCTTTTTGTCATTTCTTTTTATTTGTTGTTCCATCTGTTCTGTTTTACTGGTTACTCTTCCAGTTGATTCCTCTTCTTCCTGGATCTCCTGTTTTCCTTCTGTCACTTGCGTCTCCATTTCCAGATCTAGTTCCAGGGTTTGTATTTTATTCAAAATGTCCTCAAATCTTCTTGCCATTGTGTTTTTAAAGTCCTGAAATTCCAATGCAATTTCTTTGCAAATTTCACTCATCTTTGTTTTTATTTAATCTATTTCTTTCTGTCCAATTGTCTAACAGTTCTTTATTCAAACCTGTCAGTTTTCAAACTAAAAATCCAAAGTCCAGGAATTTTTATATCCCAAAATTAATTGTTCTATTAAGTAGTCCAAGGATGAAATCTTGATAAATTCCTCAACCAGTTAAATCTTGTATTGTAGCTTTCTGGACTCTTTAATAATAAAAGCCTCTTATTTCTCACTTTGGTTCTCCTTAAACCAGGTCTTATCAAAACTTTGGGAATCTGTAGTATCTTCTTTTAACAGCAGATGGCACTCTTGAATCAGTTTTCACTTTTCTCCTTTTTTTCCTTTCTCATCAAATTTTACCAATATTTTCGGAAATTTATATTCCTTTTTTATTTTTTTAAAAATAAACCTTATTGTTTTTGTTATGCCCCTGTTGGAATCTGATTCCAGGGGGGGGGGGGGTTGAGCAGCTAACAGGGAGTGGGAGTGTGGTTCTGGTGGCTGTGGAAGAAACTGGGAAAGGGCACAATCTGGCTGGGCATTCAGAGGAAGACCCAGGGCCACCCCCTCTTCATCCTAGGGCACATAGGGAGGAACAGAAAAGGGAGAAACATGTGTTATGGGGGAGAAGAGGGCCATGATTCCCTTTATTAGCTGCAGTTGGGAAAACAATTTTAAAAGGGCGGAAGGGTGGAAGCAAAGCGTGAATTATCTTTCTCAACTCTTATCAGGGTTCTGACGTCCTCCCAACTGTGTGTTTCGTTATCTTTTGAAGTATGCAATTCTTTATCCTGCTCTGTCTCGTTAATTGCTGTTTGTGTTGGTTTTTATTTATAATTTATATGTACTTTGGGTTTGGACTAAATTTCTTCCCTTTAAAAACTGTTCTTGGGAGAGTTTTTTCTCCAGCTGATGATAACTGGACATTGGGGGCTAATTTGGAGGTATTAAAGGGACTTTACCTACTTTTGTGACTTTGTTGCTTTTGTGCCATGCCCCAGGTCATCACAGTTTTCCAACAATTTAAAAACATAAAAAAACACAATTGCATCAACGTTGAAGACATTGTACTTTGCCTGTACCTGCATGTAAAGCCACCAGTCAGTGTCTATATTTTGCTGTTTTAATTCCTGTATTGTTTTTAATCTTCCTTGTTTATCGAGCAAATCCTTGTATTTTCTCATTTTGGCCAGATCCATTGCATTTGGGTATATTAATGCCTCCATCGTCAACAGCCAACTTGGTATTTTAGTATAGTGGTCATTCTTGATTTTATCCTATACTTGAATAAGTGCATCCCTAATTTTTCCCCCAATTTTTTTTGTTTTTCAATCTGCATATGCACAACAATAACTAACAGTGTGGCATCAATATATCATACATTTTAGTATAGGCAAAATAATAATATCAATCATATCTCTCAATGCATATATTTCACATTAATTCATAATCCTTCAATGCTTATTTTCAATCTTTCAAAACTTTCTCCAAATGCCTACCACCATATCAGTTAAGCATGCCTGGTAATTCCTTTATTCAATTTTCTCCCTGCTTTTATTTTATTTTTTAAAATAAAAAATTCTCATTTGGCAAGCAGTGTGGTTCCAGGTTTCACATCTCAATACAAACATGACCATAGTTACCTGTTCATTATAGTTGTTTAGTTTCATATTGCATCATCCTTATTATTGTTAAATATTAAGCTTATCCAATTCCAATTCAGGCTATATTAATACATTCTCATATCTTATTTTACAATGTTATCTAAAATTCTCACCTCATTTCTGTTGTCATTTCTCATATTACTTTTTTCTGTCACATTTGTCATTTTATCAATCCATATCTATAAATATAATTGTCCCCTCTGGTTAATAATTCAAGCTAACCACCTTCATTCTACCTTAATATCAATCTCCCTATCTAGTATATAACACAAATATATATATTTTTCTCAGATTCCGCATTATATTTTCTCAAACACCTTATGAATCATCACAAAATACTCATTACAAACAATCATTACAAAATACTGTTTTCAATATATTCTTATACATCACAACATATTACCTTGTGGAATCTCCTTCCTTATCCTTTTTTCCCCCCACCCATTATCTCTCACTCTTTGGACAATGTACTTCCTTTTCATCCTTGTTTGTTTCCTATTCCTCTTTGTTTTCTGGTCCTTTCTCTT